GGAACCGGGGCTCCGGGGCCGGTCTGGGGGGGGGGCGCGCCTCCATCTCCCCAGCCCGCGCGGGTGCAGCCCAGGGGCTGCCTGGGGTGGGCCAGAGCAGGGCGCCTGCATTGCCCGCGCTGGCCGCCAGGGGCGCTGCCGCCGCGGGCGCTCTCAGCGGCCGGTTTCGCCCCCGACGCTCTCAGCCGGTTGCTTAGCAACAGCCGTCCACAAGCCGGGCGCCTCCCCCGCCCGCTGCTCGCCGTTCCCTCAGCTCATTGGCCACCTCGCCTGTCCGTCCCGCCTCGGGGCTTGTCAGGCTCCCGCAGGCCGAGCGCCTCGGCTGAGGCTGGTGGAGAGTCCACCGTGGGGGGCCGGGGCCGCGGCAGGTGAGGAGCCCCCCCTGCTCCTCCCCTCCCAGCCGCCTCCAATCCCAGCCCTCCCCCGCAAGCCCCGCCCCTAGACAGACCCCCCCGCAAGCCCCGCCCCCCAATCCTAGCCACCTGCTCCCTCCACTCCCTGCCCCCCAGTACCCCTGCTCCTCCCCGCCCCCAGACAGACCCCCCCACAATCCCTGCCCCCTGCTCCCCCAAACCCTGAGCCAGCCCTCCTCCCTCCTGTTCCCCTAGCCATCTGCCCCAGCCCCCTCCACTCCCTGCCCCCAGTCCCCATGCTTGCCCCCCGGCCAGCCCCCTGCTCCCCCCCAATCCCTCAGCCCGCCCTCCTCTCTCCTGCTCCCCACAGCCCAGATCCTCAACCACATGGGGCTGGTGTCCCCCTGATAGTTCCTTTCTGCCCCCCTCCCCTACGGGGGGCAGGCCCCACAGTTTGCAAACCTCTGATTGAGACTTATCAGGAACACAAATAAGGAAATGTGATTTGTAAAATTAGAGGCTTTTTAACCCAGCAGGCTCCCATTAATTCTCCCCCTCTCCATTTTATGAAAGGCTGAGATTGGTGAAACACCATTAGAGAGATGAACTTGATGACAAAGGGTTTCAGTGAGCTCCAGGAACTAAGCAGCCGAAGGCAACAGACACCTGTATGGAAACTTCCCAGCGGTAGATCCACGCTGAGTAAATCGGCTCAAGCAGTCAGACGCTACTATGAGAACCAAGTATTTAATATGCTGCTATTTTAATCACGTTTTAGACATGATAAAATGGGATTTGATTTGATTTGGGAAGCAAAGGGTTACAAGGGGCTGCCTTGCTAACACTTTACACCTTCTGAGAAGTACTTAGCACCTTGCGGGTTGGCATTTTGGGTAGCAGCTTCTTTCAGGTTTGAGCTCCAAAGAAAGGAAAATCCCATTAAGTAGAATGGATTCTGCACACCACAGGAGCCGATCATATGCCATTTGCTTACCCACAAAAGACTGGGACCTCTCAAGGCAAGTGCAGCAAAGGCCAACTGTAATATGCAGATAATGGCAAGAAGTGGATTTACATCTCTCCTATGCAATTGCAATGCTTTGTTTATCAGCAAAATCATAATCCCACCCCCAGGATTAATGCTGGCAGTTCCAAAAGGGGTTAGGCACACAGTTGCAATGGGATTTGGGCATTTAACTCCCTTGAAAAATCTTAGCTGAAAGAAAGTGGGAGAAAGGAATTTTAGCATTTGATGAAGGCTTTCTTCATGAGGGCCTGATCCTGCAGTGAACTCAGTGCCTCCTGTGACACGCTGAGCCCCCTCTATTCCCTCCAACTACAGAATGGCGCTGAGGCTACTCAGCACTTTGCAGATCAGGCCCTGACCTATCATTGCTGGCTGTCACATCACAGAATGGATTTACACCGACCTTCCTGCCAACCTACAGTTCAAAAGCACTTTTTGAATAAGATACATCCAGTTAATGGTCTAATTTTCTCCTCTTTGCCAGGCTGATATCAAACCTGCTGGCGTCTCTGCGTCAGAGTATGAGCCCCAGGTGGAGGAATTACAGAGATCTTTTCTAATGCGCCCTGGATGTCCTAGATTTAGTAACAGAGCAACTTCAACATCCTATCTTGGTAAGGCTCACATGAGAGATCAGCAAACCCCCAGTACTCTTTCCTGTGATATATTAAGCTATTTCTCCCACACGATAGCCCTTATTTCCCCAGAACTCCCGTTTAAGTCCTACAAATTGTTTCCCCATTCATCAAATTGCTGGAAGCCAGAGTACTGATGATTCCCTCAGCACAACTTTAACATGTAACACGGATCTTGCACTTGACTAGTATGTATTTGCTAGTAGGGGCTTTCGACAGTATCATTTATTTAGCATTTCCTCAATGCTACCACAAAGTTAAAAAAGAAAAGCCTAGCTGGTAGCAAGTGAAAAACCCAAAGGCAAGTGTACATGATCCAAGAAAGAGGAGGCCAAGACCACCCAAACAAAAAAAAATCCTGCCTTCTGAGGGCCTCCAGACCACCTCCAGCCATCCAGAGTTCCAGCTTCTCCTATTGTTCTAGGAGGCAGGCAAGCTGTCTCCCTTTCCCTTAGACAGCAGGTCAGGGAAGGAACAATTTAACCAAGTTCATAAGGCTCTTACCTCCGAGGCTTGAGTCAGCGTAACCAAGCATATAATCAGAAAACAAAGTCTCTTAGCCTAGGTCAGGCTGGTGACCGATGGGAAGAGTGGGTCAATACCACTTCTGGTTCCTTTCTCTCTCACTCAGCTGCCTTTCCCTGTTTATATATAGCCCCAAGGCGGGGCAGGGTGCTTCTTGATTGCACCCAGGCTGTTTAGGCTGTAAACTCCACATGTCTCTTGAAGGGGTAGTCGCAGAGTAGGGTAGTCCTACCGAGAGGAGTTTTTCCCTATGTCCTGAACACCAGCCCCATTTTTCAGGGTAAGGAACCTTTGGGCTTATGCTGGGCTGTGACAGTTTCATGCTGAACGGAGTTTCAGAACTAGTTTCTGGATGCTCTGGTGGTCCCTTTTAGACTGCTCTGTGACTGAAGACAGATTTTTCCTTATTCAGAAGGGCGAGGTGACTCAGATCTCAGCCCCTTTCATTCTATCATAAGTTTGTGTTACCATGACCAGGTAAATCTACCTGGATATTAAAAGTGATAGGTTCCTCACATACCTGAACTAGGAATTCAGTATAAATGTATAATATTTAAATCAGTCCATCTTATTTTGCATAAAACCCACATTCTCTTCACTTCTCTGAAACTGGTAAGAGTTTTAACCCTTTATTGTGACAGAAGGTATAAGCCAGAGTGCTGAGAATCTGGAATACGTCAAATAGATATTTTTCTTGCCAAAAACAAAAATAAAAACCACTTAGAAGTAACTAGGATTTTTTTTCCAACACAGAAAGTACTTTATCACACAGCCCTGATTTGTCCTTTAATCTGAGTACCATCAGTCTGTCCTCCCAACTCAACTTTGAAGAGTGGAATGCTGCCTTTCAGAACACATATCCATTAGAATCGGCCACCAAAGGTAAGGGTAAGGGGATGACTGTATGCGTGTGTGTTTTCCCAGAAGGGTGAAAATCCGCTGTGAAATCGGTGCTTTTGCAAGGCAGCGCATTATGTTGCTATAGGAAAAACCACTGGGCATGCCTTGGTTGCTCTTTTTAACCCGTTGGTGGCATGACATGGTCTCCAAGCTATATATTCCATAGAGCAACCTGCACCGTGTGGTAGAAGTGCTGCCTATAGTCCTTCACGGTCCCTGTTCCAGTCTAGGTGAGGTTATATGCAGGACACAGGGCACATACAAGTCCAGCCACAAGTTGGAGGATTTTGTTGAAGCCGGCAGGCAGTTTAAACAGACACAACTCCCTTTTGAAGCCTACCCATTGCAGGCTGGGTCACTGTTTTTAATTCAATATGGTAAATAATCTTTTCTGAGGAGTTTTTTAAATGGTACAGTAAGTGGAACCCAAAAAGTTAAGGCTAGTAATAGAGATTTGTTGCCAGAAAAAATAAGTTTGACAGAACAAATATGTTTTTCCAGTCTCTGGGTGATATTTAGATAAATGTTCTTTCCACTATTTCACATCCCCCTCACCCCCCCAGCAGCTGGCCAGCTCCTACTCAGTAAAAGTTTCAGTGGTCTCTCTAAATGGAAGAGTTTCACAGAAGGAATCGTTCCTGCTGAACAACAAAGAGGACCTATAGAGAGTAAAATCCCATGGTACATTGATGTAATCCGTGAGAAGGTAAGAAAATGTTGCTATAATACTTCAAAAAGAAGAATAGACCATGCACATAGTTAATTGCAAAGTGATCCAGCTAGAAAATTAACTTTCTAAGGGTGTGATGTAAATTAAGTTAATAATAGAATTGTATTTGGATAAATGGATTAATCAAAGGATCTCAAAGTTCTTTTTCAAAACAACGTGAAGTGCAGGAAAGAAGGGAAAGCACATAGAGAGGAGAATGTCAGTAAGTCCACGTCAAAGTAAGAAAGAGAACCTAGGAGTCCTGGGTCCTAGTCCCTTAGACTAGATGCCATTAAATTCCCTACAGATGGGCAGGTATTGAAATACAGTACATCATCCACTCATCCGTATTTTTCCTGCCCACCAATATCCCATCAAACCTCAGATGCATTGTTTGAGTGAACACTATGCCTGTTTCTGTTCCCAGGAACGATGCTTGTTGATGATGGGAGAAAAGATTAATCGTCTTTCAAGATGTGAAGCGGAATGTGCAAGGAAGGATGATGTAATCTCTATCCTTAGGGAGGAGATAGAGAATCTGAAGAAGCATCTGGAGCTGCTCAGGAGGGAAAGTGTCATCACAGAGGAGGTGACTTGCACTCGTTTTCTCTGCATGAAATGAAGCACGCATTTAAGATAGACTTCATAGTGAGAGACAAAATGGCTATCAGCAGTGGCCATCGCTAGTGGAAAAGCTGATGATGATGAGCCTTGTGGTCCCTTCTGAACCTATGATTCTATGATGTAAGCAGATAGGGGATTTCCCCAAACAGGGGCACACACAAAAAACACAACCAAACTCAGGAAGTGAGGTTCAAAATAAAAGCAATTTAAGGCCCTCCTGTGCCCTGAATTCACAAGTAGCACAGTGAGAGGGAAAAGCATTCTGGGTAATTATATGCAAATGAGACCCCTCCAGCAGTCCCACTTTATGATCCTCATAAGGGATATAATAAAGCTACTGAATGTGACTGCGCCAGTCGGAGGCAATGTGAAGCAGAATGGAATGCTGAGAGTGCTCATTTGTGCATCATGTTCTAAACACGTTATCAGCTTCCCCAAAACCATTGTGGAGGCCTAGCACTAAGAATTCACTGACCAGGTGAGGTGTATTTGCGGTTACTGCACCAAGCTCTTTCCTTTATGTGCTGCAAGCTAGGAGTGTGGAAAGCAGCTTCCTAGGTAGTTTTCCTCATACTAAATTTTCCCTTGCAGAAAGATGCAGCCTCCGAACCTGTAGCTGACGACAGCAAGACAAAGATGCCTGGGCTAAGCAGCTCAGTGCAGGAGGGCTTAGGACAAAGTGGCACTAAAGAAGATTTGAGAGAGGAGGTGGCATGCTTAAAATTAAAACTAAGCTACTCTGATAAAATTCTGGACTCTAAGATTGCTAGCCTGTCTGAGTCCCTGATGAAAGACCAGGAGGAACTATGGCAACTGGAAAAGGAGGTGAAAGAGGATCTGCACTAGTTCAGATATGGCAAAAGAAACTGACAGTAGACTGAGAGGAGTCTCTGCTATTGTGTGCTTTTCACACTGCTGCTAAAGGTGTCCTTTAGTGACTGCATCCTCTAGATCAGCATTTCTCAAATGCAACCACCAGGGGCTTTTCTTGCAGCCACAACCTCTTGGGCAGTGATTCGGGGGGAGGCGGCAGCAAGGAAGGGTTGGGTCCTGCCCCCCTCTTGAACCACAAACATCGGAGGAACAGACAGCCGGTGTGAGTTCCCCACCTTCCCGGGGGCGGTGGGGCTTAGGCTTCCAGCTTCAGCCCTGGTGTGGCGGGCGGCAGGCTCTGGCCACAGGCTCTGACTGTGGGGCATTGGGCTCTCGCTGCACAGCGGCGGACTCCGGCAGCTGGGCTTCAGACTCACACCCCACCCTTATCACCCCCGGCCCCCACTGCCTCCATACTCACCTCCCCATCCAAGGCTTAATTTGTCCCCCCAGCTTGCCAAGGCTGAGTAAGTCTGCTGTGAAAGGTGATAGTGCATGTTTGTTAATATCACTTTTCACTGCCTCCCAGCTAGCTAACAAGTCTCTGTTGTGAAAAAGTGATATTAACAAACATACAAATATCACTTTTCACAGAAGGGGACTTACTAGCTAGCAAGCCTAAAAACAAACATACCTGCAACTAAAAAAGCAAAATAAACAACAACAAAGACAGGAACATGCAAAGCACCTTATTTGTGTTTTTATTCTGTTTAGGTCCAGTAAAGAATAGACACAACTGTATGTTATTATTATTACTGAGTCTGCAAAAACACCCCTACAAAAATAAATTACACTGATTGGACTTGTATATGTGCATATGTGTTTGTTTTTCCTAAAGTTAATTAAGTATTTTAGGAAAAATTGTCAAAGCAGCCACCACCAAGAGACTTGGTGGCCACACTCTGAGGCCTCCAAGAAATTTGTTGCAAGAAACCCTGCTCTAGATTTCCCTCTCTCGCCCATCCCCTTTGGATCTCTGATTTGCAGACATAGGAAATTGTAAACAGAAAACTAAAGCATTTAGAAACATCATTATAAGGAATAACTTAGGTTAACATCTCTGGGCCAAATTCTGCTTTCAGTTATATCAGTGTAAATGAAGGTACATCTACAACAAGATTCATATAATTTAATCCCCCTTCCCAGGTCCACTGCTGTGAAGATACCAGGGAAATTATCTAGCCACAGAAGCTAAAGAGATCAGTGTGAACAGATCCTAAAATAAATTTATCTTCCTAATTGCATCGAGGGGGCCTATAAACAAACAAATCACACAGATCCAAAAAGGTGCTCCAATATAGCATATTTCAAATGCTCATGGGTAAAAGTACCAAATATTCAGAATCTTCTTCCCTTGTAGTATCTTGGAGATATTACCTGGCTTTGGGTCAAGTTCACGGTCAGTGCATTTGGTGTCTGTTTACATTTGGACCAAATAATGAACTTCCAGAAATCTTGCTCCAGGTCTGCATGGGATTATGGGTTGTGCCTCCAGGAGCACGAGACCCATGATTGTATGTTTTTTTAATATCTAGACCAGGGGTGGGCAAACTATGGCCTGCGGGCCGCATCTGGCCCCTCAGGGCTTTGGATCCAGCCCATGGGATTGCCCCCATGGAGCCGCAGGCCCCGCACTGCTCTCAAGTGGCTGGCACCACTTCCCTGCGGCCCCCGGGTTGGGGGGCAGAGGGCTTTGTGCGTTGCCCTTGCCTCCAGGCACCACTCCCCGCAGCTTCCATTGGCTGGGAACGGGGAACCGCGGCCAATGGGAACTTCGTGGGAGTTACCTGGAGGCGCGGCAGGGGCAGCGCACGTGGAGCCCTCCGCCCCGCCCCCTCCTCCAGGGACCACAGCGCTTCCTGGAGCGGCGCGGCGTGGGGCCAGGGCAGGCATGCAGGGAGCCTGCCCTGGCCCCGGTGTGCACCGCTGCCAACCCGGAGCCACTTTAGGTAAGCGGCGCCAGGCCAGAGCTTGAACCCCGCCTGCACCCTGCCCCCCAACTCCCTGCCCTAAGCCACCTGCCTGCACCTCACACCCCTCTTGCACCCCAACTCCCTACCCTGAGCCCCCTCGTACACCCCGCACCCCTACCCCTTGCCCGGAGCCCCCTGCTGCACCCCGCACCACTTCTGCACCCCTGCCCTGAACCCCCTCCTGCACCCCAACCCCCTTCCCTGAGCCCCCTCTTACACCTTGCACCCCTCCTCTGCCCCAATCCCTTGCCCTGAGCCCGTTCCTGCACACCGCACTCCTCCCACACCCCACACTCCCTCCCGCATCCCAACCCCCTGCCCCAGCCCCGCATACAAATTTCCCCACCCAGATGTGGCCCTTGGTCGAAAAAGTTTGCCCACCCCGATCTAGACATTGTGAGGTCTCCAGATGCTCCAGTGCTGGACACAATAGATAAAGAAGAACAGGAAGCACAGTTTTCCTGCATTTGGACTAGAACTCAAGAGTTTAAAAAGGAACCAGTAATTAAGCTACAGCAGTTACTGAGTCATTTTCTTAAGCCTGTGTCAATGTTTCACCATACATTATATTATTCCATTTGCAAGGTCTCTGGCTCAGGGTTAGAGAGGTGCCCTAAATGCAACTCCAGAACTAGACTCCCGTCCCTCCAAACGTTCAGCTCCAGAAATGGAGCCTTATATGACTAAAGCCAGTCTCTACCTCAGGCTGCATTTTGCTTCAACTTTCAAAATTCTTCCCGTCCTTTTGTCCTTACAGTATTCAGAAATGCAGCAAAAGGGCTTGAGACAAGAGGACATGGAAAAAGAGCTTCTCAGTGGTACAGAAATTGAAGTGGCTTCTGAAGAGGAGGAGGAGAATGAGGCAGAGGCGGAAGAGAAAGCATCCCTGATCAAGCTCAGAGAATTCCAGCAAATGAACCAAGAACTCTGTAAAGAACTGGAGAAAGCAAAGACGGACTATGACATGGCCACAGGTACCAGGACTGGCATACGGGGAACACAAAAGGGCTAAAGACCAGAGAGTATCTGAAATTTGAGTGGCTAGATCCTAAACTCTTCTCCTATTCTGTGAACAATTCGTATGCTGGTTATGGGGAGCAAGAGGAAGTCATTATTGAGGCTCAGTTCTCTGTCTAGGAAGGATCTACATTAGGTCTTCACTGAGAGGCTGCAGCTTCTAGTCCCTCTGCAGTTTTAAAGGTAGCTTCCCAACAACAGCTGCTTTTGAATTCTTTTCCCTTACAGCTTGCCTGGTAAAGATGCCCATTACCAACCAGGGCAGATTCTACTTAAAAGTGCTTGGTGAGGTTTGGACTGCTAAACAATGCGGTGCTAATCAAGAGCAGAGGATCAGCTCTGTATAGCTAGAGCACCTCTGTGACGTGTCCAGCTTCTGACGTTAGCCTGGAGGGAGCTTCTGCATATCAAACCATTTCTAAGTCTTTTGACTCTTGCACAAAATGAATTTGGCTGGTATTAAGAAATGGACACTTCAATTCAGTGATGCGATAAAGTATCATTCAGCTGAAGTGTACTTCTGTAGTGACTGTAGTTCTAAGATAACTTATGTCCACAGCCAGATAATTTTTGGATGATGGAATAAAATGACTGGCCCCTTTTTCATCACCTAGGGGGGGTTTCCCAAGGACTTGAACAGCGTTCAGTTGGTTCAGGACTCTACTCTGATTGTGCAGGTGCCATCACTTCCTTGCAAAGGCAGCTGGCTTTCCAGGAGTCACAGCTACGGAGAGCAGAGTCTGAAAAGGAAATGCTACAAAAGGAGCTTCGAGAGCGGGGAAGTCAACTGCAAGCCATGTCTGCCAAGGTACAGTCACTCAGAGCACAACACAGACCATTGGCCACCAGTGTGTAGTGTGGGGGGAACTGGGAATTTATTCTTTGGGAGACTTGTTTTTATTCTTTTTCAACAAGTCAGGAACTCATGAGTCTGTGACCTGTAGTAATGGGGCTGAGGTGTTAACTGGAGCCTTTTCTCTCAGTTTTCCAGCCTTCGAGAAGAACGGAAGCGTGAAGAAATGATGGGAATAATAGAGAGAGAGAATTACAAACTCCGACAGGTGACTCATCAGTGCAAACTCCTGTGCTCAGTTACAGTAGCCAACACCCTAATTCTCCCTGCTGGGCCCCCGTATAAATTAAACAAAGCAATCCCATTTGGGGAGCACCTTGTGCTCCTTTAGGTTCTTTCCTGCTCTCTCTCCAAAGCCTGCACTGATGTCAGGTGTCTTTCACTCTAGTTACTCTCAACACTAAACCCATCCGTGTTCTCCCTAGTTTTGCAGGGGAGTCTGTCCCATGAAAATCAGAGATGGGATAGCCCTGGCCTATTTTGTTTCTCAATACACTTTATTGCTCAGTTTAATTTTTCTAACGAGCCTGAATTGATGGAGAAGGGAACAAACCTGTTTTAATGGCTCTTAATTCGAATTATTATTAAATACTATAGGTAAACCTGGCAGGGACAAAGTCCCAAACCAGTAACATTACTGGGCACTGACATATTCTGCTCCCGCTGCCTTCTGAGAAGTTTAGGAAGGGTTTGGAATAGCAGGGCAAAATCTCTAGCGAGACATGTTTGAATTAGGCAGCTTTCTCCTCCACTCCTCCTGAACTGTGTTTCTCCTCAGGACATTGTGGAACAAGAATCCAGACTGGCCGAGAAAAACAAACTGATTGATGATTTGCAGAGCAAGATCAACCAGCTCCAGGCAGAGGTTATGGTAGCCCAGCACCACATGCAGAAGCAGCTGTGTGACCAAAGTGAGACGCAGAGCCAAGTCGAGGCCTTGAAGCACGCTGAGCAGCAGGCCAAAGTTGCACTGGAGTGCATCAGTGCCAGGGTAAAGGTGGCCTCCTTCCTCCTTCACTGCGGGCCTCTCCCCTGAGGGAGGGACCCCAGCTAACGAGAACAAAGGCCCCAGTTTAGTCAGGGCCATCTTTAGACACAATCATTGGGTGGACTGCATGGGGCTCCCTTTGGCACCTCAGCTCCAGCAGCAGGAATGGAAGGGCTGGCAGTTAACAGTCCACTTGTTCCCCAACCTTTCCCTGGTGGCTTGGGCTCCTGTGCTTGCCAGGGGCCTTTGTTTAAGTTATGGGTCTTATGGGATACCAAGAAAAAAAGACCCCGAGGTTTCAGAGCAGAATAGTTACAATGCCAAACTTCTTTCTGAATTTTATCCCACAGCCTCCCAGCCCTTCTGGGGACCCCCCTCTCTCAAATACAGCCACAGGCTAAACAGCCATCATGGGAAGATATTTCTCCATATTTATTCTTAAAGGGACATATTCAGACCTGCTGTAAGCAGGTGCGACTCCATCCAATGTCAGGTCAGATTTGCTTAGGTTACTAATTCAGAGACACATGTTGCCACTAGGTGTCTGTGTGGGGCTTCTGGTGAAGCCATCTAGAATTGCACATACTCAGCCCAGGGCAGAATTTCAGTCCTGCACCTCACTGTTGGCCTGGGGACATTCAGAGACAGGAGAACCGGTCAGAAATGCCAGCTGTCATTCCAACCCTCTTGTTGGCATAGCTTAAAAGCAAGCGTTGCTTTAAATTCTCCCTTTAGTGAGAAAAGGTCTTTGCTTGTGTCAGACAGCGTCCCTCTTTAATTGGAGGAAACCTGGTTAATTCCTGGTTAATTAAACTAAGGTCATTTTTTTTCTCCTTTTTAAAATCAAAGTTTGAAAGATTTCGAAGCAAAATAATTCAGGCCACATACAGCGCTGCAGGCGCCAAATCCCCCCAAGCTGAAATTAGCGATGAGGAGGCACTGGAGGCTATGCAGGTATGTGATTCAGTGTGGAATGATGCTTCTGCTTGGACCCCTGAGCTGGGGCCCAGCGGAGAGGTGAGGGGAGAAGGAAAAGCTTTATGATTCTATCACCTCCGTGGCTAATGCTGGATTCTCCTGTGAATGTGTCTGATTTCCAGAGAATAATTAGCGAGCGGCTGGATTATCATCAGATGCTGAAACAGAAGGGTGTGAAGGTCCCGTCTCTCTTCAGTAGTGAGCCAGCAAATTTGTCCTCTCCTAATTCTAAGACCACCAAAAAGAGTCCTGTGAAATAGGGTATGCCGAGAGCTGATTCCTACAGCTGAGTCACAAAGTCAGGAAGGCGCTTTTTCCTGAGGCTCTTTCCTGGTTGTATTTTGGTTTGTTCTGATGTTTTGTTTTTTTATTGACAAAGTAAATAATTAAATTTGACTTCAACTGCGTTCTGTTAAGCCAGCTGATCTCTAATTAGTCTACACTGTTGCCTCATAATTGGAATTGGGGACTGGAATCAGGGCTCAATTTGCCATAAATCTCTTATTCTCTCAGGTTTTCCATCTGTAGAATAATCTCCGCCTCTCATGGGAGTTATGAGAGTTAATGTGAGTTTGCAAAGTGCTTTGGGGGTTCTTGGATAAGAGGAGCTAGAAAATGAAAATGATTCCCTCTGTGTTGCACACCACCTGCTTTGGCCAGATTATCCCATTGCTGCTCATCATGCTCCTTTTAAACGCAGGGTGCAGGCATAATCATTGGATCACCAAGCTTTTCTGACCTGAAACGAGCAGGCCTTCCAAACTTGCCAGATTCTAGCCATCCCATCCAGGTCATCTCTGAGCATATCCTACAACCTGACGGTACCCAACCACTGCTAGATATCACTAGTGCTGGCAATCTAAGCTTTAGTAATCAGTCTTCCCCTTCCCAATCTTAATGATAAACCACTGGGCCAGGCTCTCATACAATGTCACTGCCAACCTCCCATTCAGCTGCGCCCCCTCGAACCCACCATAGAGTTTGGACCTGGATTCTATTCTGGCTCATGCACCCTTATCCGAATTATTCACTGAGTTCCCACTGCAAAATCTTTTTTGTTGGTGATGCGCGAGCCATAGAAAACCAGCTTCATTTTCAGGTACCAAGATCAAGTTTGCAGGGCTGGCAATTAGAAAAAAAAAATCTTTTGGATTGCAAAGTGAGCATAACTGAGCAACAAACATGGAACCCCACTCTGTCATTTTTACAGAGTCACTTTTCAACTGTACCTTATTGCCATTAATAACAGCAAGCTAGAAACCTGCCTTTGTGACCAAAATTTGTAACCAGTTCCATAATCAATGATGATCACCTCCTTGACATGCACACAGTTATTCCTTCTAACAGAACAGATCAAATACCCTAATATCTACTTCCCAGCAGACTTCCCCACATGCCAATTCTGTGCTGTCAGCAGGTAGCCCCAAAGCCAGTTACAAATCGAAATTGCATGTTCGTGTTTTACCCCTAACCAAGAGCCACACTTATGAATTTCCCATTGGACAAAGTTATTCCGAATGCATAAATCAGCCTCTTCATCTGTAAGAGATTTCTGGCTGAATTATGTCACAGTAAATAAAAGGTCTGGTTCTCCAGGGCCTGGACCTTGTGACCTCATCTACACCAGTGTAAAATGGTGATGAAATACTGTCAAATCAGGATTCTCCACTTACTTGTACCATTTCACTCCTACTTTGCAAAAGGGCACAGGGTGACAAGAGATTCAAACCCAAAGCCCTTAGGAAGGCTAAGGATGCAACCTCTCTGCTACCGAACAGAACGATAGGTTCGCAACTCAGATGGTTGCCTCATGGTTATTTAGAAATGAAATCCATCCCCATGTGGCAGTCCCAGCCCTTTGCCTGGAGTTCTACAATGCTTGCATCCAGAGGTCTATTGCAAAAGTCAACCAGGCTAAAGTACATTTTCCTCTTCAGCTTAGCACAAGGCTGAATGTCCATGACTAACATCTGCCATTGCCCTCTTCGGTCTGATCTTTGCATTTCTCTAGGTGGCGTCTTCACACAACTGAATGTCTACCATTGCAGATGATTAGTGAGGGATGTGCCATTGCTTTTCTCTTCAGTTTTAATATTTCTAATGCAACCAAACACAAAATCAACTTCCTTTTTGCATTTCCCTGTGAACTGACTACTGATGATAGATGCTGGACTAAGGGTCCTACATAAGCAAGCTCCATAGAACCCTGACATTGGGCCTCCACTCTGGCCTGGAGTGGACCATCTCTGGGAGCAAGACAGGAGTTAATTCCTTAGGCCCCTTGAAGCTGTGCCCTCTCTGCTGAGATGGATGATCTAGCTGCCAGTTGTAAAGGTGATTTTGGGATGCTGACACCTGCCCACTCAGTTCTGAACTGGGGCTACTGCCTCATTTCAGACAGGGCACCGGACAGCCTTCAGTTGGAAACAACAGACCAGAGCTGCACTGCAGCCAGCAATCTGGCCATGTGAAAGGCTCTGTATCCCATCAGCAGCCTTCCCCCAAGCTGTCCAGTTCCCTAATCTGCACCATTAAAGACAGAAGTAGAAGTGAAGGATTTTGCTTCAGACTGATAGTGCTGACTAGATCTCTGGTTCACTGTATCTATTCTGATCTCACAACACCGAGTAAATCTGGAGTAACTACATCACATCAATGGAGGACAGAATGAGAAGCTCTGGATCTAGCCCAGGAGGAGTAAGGGCTGTGCGAGTCAGGGCTGCGGGCAGGATTTCAGAATATTCAAGAGTCTCCCCTGCTTGCTGTCCAGCTCCCCCCAGGGCCGTGCACTCCTTTCACTGGAATCTCAATGCTGTCATGGCACTGAGGTCAGAATGCTGAAATAAAGGACGGGCCAGGTCCAACGGCCAATGTTTCTGGTGGTAACCCTTATACTCCTTCTTCAAATCAAGTCTTTGGCATGCATTCGCCATTGCATGCATCTCATTTGCCGTCAGACAGAGTGAGGTTAAAGAATTTGCATGTGGGAACTGTGGAAGTTTTGCCCCAGCACTTTCGCTGGTTAGGTCAGAACATATGGAGTCAGCCAGTTATAGCTGGCACCTGTGTTTTTGTGCTGAAAGGCACTGAACTGATGGACCCCGCCTCCTTCCCCGCTCCGCCTCTAATCTTGGTTTAACACAACAGCACACACAGCTGTTAAAAGCTCACAATCAACCCAGAAAGGAAAGAGCTAAAGGCAAAGGGTTATTTTTCACCAAGAAGCAGCTCGGAGCGGAGTCAGAGAAGGACTTTGATCCTCAGGTGAGACCACGCTGCAGCTTTAAACAGTCTTTGGCAAACTCGCTTTTCTTTTCTGACTTTCCCCCCCACTTTTCCACCCTATTTTCAGGGGTAGAATTGCTGAAGCCCAGCTCTGCGCAGACGTTAGGAGGAGAGGAGGAGTATAAAATCCAAGCCCATTCCAGTGGTAAACTACTTTTTACTGGTTGGTTTGGGGGGAAGTGAAGAGAGGCAATATGGCTTCATTTTAAAAATCTCTCAGCCAGAAGTAATGTGTCTGCTCTAGCCAACTGGTCACTATGTTATGTGAATACACTGATTGCTGGAGAGGATAGGAGACCTTTGGATCGGGAAATCATACAGAAGGCAGCTAGGGAGGCACCGGCAAGGAGCAGCTGCTCAACATCCCGAAGTGCAAGGATTCCCGTTGTGCTAGGTCCGTCCCTGGGACTCTAGAGGAGAGTAGGCTCCTTGTGCCACCCCTGTCACTGTCCCATTGGAAAACTGGGGGCCAGATTCCCAGCTGGGCTGCAGCTGTAGAGTGCTGCTCCACCAGCACAAAGCAGCCATATAACCCAGCAAAGTCCGGCAGTGGAATGTCCCCTGACGTGGAGGAATCCTCTTGTGGTACAGGGTGCCTCCTGCCCTGCACAACTCCCCCTTCCCCAGCACAGGAGGTGCAGCCTAGCAAAGAGGAGGCTTGGCCGGGACACTGCTGTGTCTGGCTGACAGTCTGGGATAGGCCTGCGTGGCCTCTGGAGAGGGGTATAAGTTAGATCAGCCTACAGGCTGCTCTAACCCACTTCCCAGCGGCCCCAAGCTTGGACAAATGCTAAAGTGGATTAAAGACACCTTTGCCCCAATCTGATCTGGCACCACACTGATCAAAAAGGGGCAGCTTTAAAAATGTCAAAATATTTTAAAAGATCCCTCACAATATGCCAGGCTCATGCCAAGTTGCAGATAATAGAAAATGTTTCTAAAGACCTGCGATATGCTACAGAGAGATGCACGAAGAGGCATTTAGATTGCAGAGCCAAAACTCTGAAGGGAGCTGCTGGGTCTAATCTCTAACATGGTACGTTAGCAAACACCAGTGCGATTGCTGGCACTAGCAGGCTTAGAATTTAGACCTTAATCAGGAACATTGCTATGTCAGCGAGCCAAGAACGTAAAGTCCCCTATTTACGAAACATAGGCTAGGATCCAAGTGGAAATAATCACAGTTAAAAAGGCAAATTGAAAATACCCTCCAGGCAGCATAATCCCTCCCAGTCCTGCTCCATCTCTGTTCCAGGTCCCCTTTCTTTACTAGACACACATCAACTAGCTGCATTTCTAGTTTTCTTTGTGCTGCTGCCCATAGGACCATCCTTTCTTCTCGCCCCCTCTGCCAGGCACAGCTATCTGACAGCACCGGGTGCCTCAAGCCGTGTCTCAGGAGCGGGAGGGCTGGGTCAAAAAGGAGGTGGCAACAAGGGGAGAATTTTAAAATTACTGCAAATTAGCAGTTGTAAAGCATGATCTGTTAAGTGCCGACGGCGTGTTCTCTACAAGACACAAATATGTGGTACTCCCAGTCTGGAAGAGCTTATGACATGAGAAACAGATAGACAAGCTGCATTGCAGGACCTAGAGTAAGGAGTAACTTTAGATAACTCAGCCTTGGCGAGAATTTTAGGTAGGCTTCATAAAATAAAATTTTACATTTCTGTAGGGGGACCTTTCACGAATACGCTTCAAAAGCTATGGGACATACATACATCTCCTTACTGAAGTGCAGAGACCATTGGGGTGTGGAAGATAGCCGCTAGGCAGTCCTTACTCTACAGGGAGAGGGCTCTTAAGTCTTCCAAAGATTTGTGGGTGTTTGGAATCTGGACCTGAGTCAGATGCATATAAAAGATTGGATGACTCGATGGAGCCTTTCACCCCAGATTGTAGGTTTATTTGCTTGAAAGAATTGGTTTGATAGTCTCAGTCTAATTCCCAGTGAACAGGTGTTTATACATCAAAAATTATCATTAGCCCAATTGATTGAGGGTATAGATGTGGGGACCCGCATGAAAGACCCCCTAAGCTTATTTCTACCAGCTTAGGTTAAAAACTTCCCCAAGGCACAAATTCTTCCCTGTCCTTGGACAGTATGCTGCCACCACCACCA